CCATACCCTAGAAGTGAATTAACTGGAAAGCTTAATTTGAGTAGAAAATGGATGACTGTCTGTCTCTTAACTGCAAACTCATCTTGGATTCATTTTATGAAATAAGATCACCTAATTCTTTAGTCATGTTTTTTGTTAAAACAGGGTTCTTGTACCAATGTGGTATAAATGAGTTATGTTTTAAAACTTAGTAGGCTTAATAAATAATCTTTTTGTCTTTTCCTCTTTCCTTTGTAGATTGTTATGATAATGTATATGGCTTTTTTTGTGTGTTTTTTCCCATCACCTCCCTGTTTCACAGATTCACCACGTCATTTCTGGTGGTATCACTTAATCTGCTGGCTAATGAGTGCTGCTGGCATAATTTGTATCCTCGTTGCTCATGAACACTATACCGTAGATGTCATTATTGCTTACTATATCACCACACGGCTCTTCTGGTGGTACCACTCAATGGCGAATGAAAAGGTGAGTGGCACATACCTTTAGAATCAATGTATAGCCTGCATGTTCTAATTTTGAAATAAAAATGAACTTCAGTATGGAACCTCTAAACAAACTGGGCAAGGAGTTTCACTTTACTGTGATGTAAGTGAATGCTTAATGGATTAAGATATTCTTTGTCTGATCTGTGCCTATTATTAAGTTATTTCAATTTTTTTATAAAGTTATCTTTTAAATTCCTGATATTTTGGCTTAACTTTTTTTCTAACAAGGTTTTAATGCTGTAGTGGATGTATTGAATAGCCCTTGTTTGTCTAAGCTTATGAATAAACAGTAGGTTAGTAACATAATTTCTGACCAACCTGAATTACCTACACCATACTAAAATTCTAGTGACAGTTCTGTAAACGTCACTAAAAGTACATTGTTCAGAAGGTATCTGCTGCAGTTGCTTCAAGAACACTTTCAAGTAGGAGCATAGCTCTTAAGCCGTATTAATCTAGTTTTCAACTATTGGCCATCAACAGAAACATGACATGCCTGAAAGGACTCACGTTCAAAAAGACTTGAGTACTTTGTCTCCCTAAATTTTGTACAGCAACAAAGCATCCCTTTGTGTTAAAGGTGCTCAGTTTGTAGCATACATTTGGACTATGATGTATATGTTATCTCAGTACTTTGTTTTTTCTAGGCTAAATGCACTTCATCTTCACTGAAATGCATGCAAATATATTGCATTTTTGTAGTTGTCTTGACTCAACGTAATTGATTATAATGCTTTAAACTGATTGTCTGTTTGCTTTTCCCCTTTACCTACTTCTGTCAATACAGACTTTAAAGGTCTCTTCGCAGACAAATTTTCTTTCTCGAGCATGGTGGTATCCAATATTTTATTTCTTTGAGAAGAATGTGCAAGGCTCTGTTCCTTGCAGCTTTTCCTGGCCGATATCTTGGCCTCCTAGCTGCTTCAAATCTTCATGCAAAAAGTATTCACGGGTTCAGAAGACAGGAGAGGATAATGAAAAATCTACCTGAAGAAAAGAAGGAAAGCATCTGCTCTGTTTTTTTTACCAAAACATTAATGCTGTAACCAAAGTTCTTAAGAGGACTACACTGTAACTGAAGAAGTGGACCAAGCTTCTGTGCAATTGATTGGAAAGACAATTGTAGACACACATATTGCCATTTCATAAGTTTTCCTATCATCAGGTTGTACAGACCTATTCTACTCTTCAGTGCTAACAGAATGCACCACTGATGGGATTTTTTTATTAAAGAAAAAATAGAGCAGGACTTTGCTTAACTAATGAGATAGAGGTGCCAAAGACCACATTAACACTTTCATTACTAACTATCACTTATCCACAGAAGCACCCAAAAAATCTCATCTTCAGAGTTCTGGAGTGTGTAAGGGCAAAAACATGCTAAAATGTAAAGGCACGATATTGGCATATTGAGGTATATAAAAAACCACCACTATTGTGGGGAAGTGGTTTGTTGCATTATTCTTGCTAATGAAGGTAAGGCCTTCCTAAGACTGGTACAACTGGAAGCGAGTCTTGACTTCTTTTACACTCTGTGGGTATGAATATCTTATGACCCTAAAATACTACTTACCACCATTATCTCCCATATATTCTACTATATACCAATTTTTACATTTTTATTAGTAATTTTATATTTAAACTGTTGTGCTACCTGATGACTTTGCAAATTAAGAATAGCTGCTAACATCAGAGCTCAAGGAGCCTAAAATTTTATTTTTAAAAAAGGACAGTTTCAAGGTCTAAATCTTTAATTGCAGTTTGGCCTTGTGTATATAGCTATACAGTGCCTCTTGGTGTATGTACATGCATATACACACAAAAGCACACACTGCTGTGTAGTTAAACACATGTTAAATAAAACTACTTACTGGAAAGAGTGATCATACAGTTCTTAATTCAGGCAAAAGTCCTTCCGATCTCACCTGCTTGAGGAATGCAAGGCCAGATCCAAAATGGGTCTATATTTAAAGTCAACTTTTTAATTTTGGTAGCTATCTCTTGTTGAAACTATGTAGCAAGTTTGCTTGGGAGCCATAGTTTTGCATTGAATTTATTTTTTTACCTGTTGGCACATGTTTCTGTAACTGACTTTAAAAAAAAAAACAACCAAACAAAAAAGTGCAGAGATTAATACCTACAACAGTAGCATTTCTTAAATTATTACCTAAAACCATTTCATATTAAATGACACTGTGGTAGAACTCACATGCAGATTCCTTTTTTTCCGGAGTTTCAGTCCAATTAAAATTGCTGTTTAAGTAAGCTGCCTGAGAATGTGGGAAATTACTGTGGCTTAAACATCTAACAAAGTCAGAAATTAACAGCTACCTGGTTCTTGTCATTTTTTATTGTTTTGTATTGTTGGGAGAGCAAAGTAGAAAATTAGCGTACCATGTTTAATCATTTATGTTCTGTATTAATTTCTGTGGTTAACTCAATTTTATTTTCAAATCTTCAGCAAAACCTGATAGCAAAGATAAAACTGCATTAAGTGTTGACCTGATACTAATAAAAAGGAAATGCTGTTTGTTTTAAGAATGTCTTGAACGGAGTGACAAGTGTGAACACAGTTTAAATAATGACTTGTTTTTAAAAAGTCCAGTTAAAGTTATAAAATGCAATACAGCGTATTCAAATATTTTTCAGTTAAGGGGATCAACTGCTGTGAGTTGTACATGAGAATATTATTGATGTGCATTTCAAATATTTTTGTGCATTCTCAAAGTAATACAATAAACAATGCTCTTTACAATACAGCCTTGGTAAAACTTAGCTAAGAGAGAAATTTTGCTGATGTTCGGTATTGTTATTTAAAACAAGCTGCTTAGAATCTTACAACATGCCCCTGGAAGTTGTGTGTGTATGGGCATACTTAGGTTTTCATTTGGTTGCTGGAGGCAGACCTTGAGCAGCTAAAAAGCCAGTACCAAAACACTTATTTGAAAGTCCTTTTTCTGTATCATACAAATAAATCTGTTCAATGTCAGTCTGTAAACCTCCCAAGATACTTGTTATGTTAGTATTGATTTATAGAGCATAATAATTTTTTGGAAGCTGAATTCTAAGCTTTGTGATATCTTAAGTATGGTCATGTTAAGCCACTTGTAGAAATACTATCTTTTAGAAATCGTGAATGAATTTCATTAGTGGCAACCATGCCTTGAAAATAACATGGTGAAAGGCGTTCCAGTAAGTAGCTTAAAAGTAGCTTAAACAGTGATTTTTTTTTTTTTTTCATCTGGTGGCTGAATAATAAATACTTTGATAGTCTAGATAGCTAATTGTCTGCATAACCACCACCATTTCTCAGTGGGATTTCTGTAATATATCTGCAAAATAGAATTTCTTCATGCAGGATGAGGTGTTTGGGTTTTTTTTACACTTATTCCGATTTTTGGGAGGAAAAATATGAAAAGTGATGAAACCAAGTAAAGAATATGCTTTCATTGGGCAGTGTGAGCTTTCATTCCACTACTGAATTTGACAGAAATTTCTATTTTAATACAAAAGGAAAGTTGAAATGGTAGCCCTAGCTCAAAATACTTGATTTTTCTGACTTGGCCCTCCCTTAAGTGCTTAAATTTTCTCCATTGTATCAAAGCCCTCAAAAGGGGGTGTGTGTTTAATTAGCGGAAGACTCCATTTCTCTACTCCCTCAATAGCTTTAAATTGCTTTTGCAAACTTGGGTAGTATAGATGTATTTGAATACTCTTTAGGCCTATATATAAGTGATGAAACAGGGTAAGTAATGGTATATGCTAGTGCTTACTGCTGTAGTAGTTTATCCAATAAAAACCACAGCTGGTACACAAAAATTATTAGTTTTAAGAACTTGGTGATCATTGTCTATAAATACTATGAAGCTGAAAACATGGTTTCATCCTAAGAGGAAAAAGGATTGCAGTGGGTAAAAAGAACAGGAAAAACTCAGACTTCACTTAATGTACTGGTCACTTGATCATAGGTGTGTTTGGGCTGTACGTGCCCAGTGTTTTGCAGTATGTCACTAACTACTTTTTCCTCAGAGTTGCAATAATGATCTTTCTTACAGAAGTCACATAAGCTGCACCTGGACTGTGACTATACATAAAATGCTCCTTCTCTCTACTGAAGAGCATTTACATGTTGAATTTCCCCAACAATTTAAAAAAAAAAAAGAGGCACTACGCTTGTACACCTGGTATATTAGTATGACTTACAGGCTATTGGGTGCTTTGTATTTATGAAATAGGCTTTCTTAAATGCCTAACCTAAATTTAAACCTGGATTTAAAAGATTAACTTGAGCATTTACGGAAACGTGCTATATGGCCATGCTACAGATGCTTAATTCCAATGCCAGAAATGATTAACGTGTACTTGAATCCACGGTAAATTGACATTTTTATGGTACGTGCGCAGCACTCCCATGTGGACGTAAGTGGTACTAAATGTTCATTGTTGCTGTTTCCTTGGAAAGATAGCCACAGTTGGGGTTGTAGCAAAAAGAGCTGTGCTAAATGTTGCTATGAACTCTAGTACTGGATTTTGCTTTTTTTAAAAAAAAAAAAAGATATGGGAGAGAAAGAAGAAAAAATCATGAAGATTGTATTTATGTGTTAAGATATACTACCTTCATGTAATGGAGAAATAAAGCTCAGTAACAGAGGACAGAACTGAGAAGTATTTTAAGAGATGAGAGAGAATTCTCTTAAGTGGATTTGCAATAATCTAATTATCTGTGTCTTACATCAGAAGACATTCAAACTCTGGCTTTCTCCCATCATTAGTATCTGGCTAGACAATTTATCCTAAGTTGTTTGGTACTAACCCAAATTCTTCTCATTTAAGTAGATGTGAGGTATCATTTACAGTTCTAAAGACCAGATCCATTAACCTCAGTGCAAGGTGAAGTCTTTCCATTTATTTCAAATGAAACTTCCCACAGCTTTTTTTTTTAACTTAAAAAAACTATCTGAAAGATCCATGGGGCAATTTTGAAAACACGTCCAATCTATCAGATGTACTGGAACCATTTTTCCTTACTAGCAGACTTAGCAGCTGCAAAACTCCATTGTCATCTTTATAATTTGACAATACATGTTTTGGACTTACCTAGAAGTCTATAGACACACAAAACTAGCATGATACTGTAAGATCGAACACTTCTGAACGTTAAGTGTTCTATACCAGGCATTGTAAAATCAGTATCTTAAATTCAGTTACTGAAAAATAAAAAGGGTCTTAAAAATAAATACTTCTGTTGGACACCATTCAAATTAGTGTTGCTGCTTAAGTGCACATGGGAAAAATATCCTAGCATGCCACTGAAGTAACTTTGCTTATCAGTTAGCCTTCATATGCTGCTGAATGATGCTTCCTAGTGTCTACAAAACAAAAATGTCCCGAGAAACCGAGAATGAAGACAAAGCCTTTTCTAGTATTTACAAGAAAAAGAAAGGAAGATGAAAACGCTTAAAGTAGATAGTGATCATACATATATTTTGCGAAAAATTGAGCTACAATTACACCTGATGTCTAAGTAATGTAGAATTAAATTGTTTGTGTGTAATAGTGCTGGAAAAAACCTCTTGGGAAACAGGCAGTATTAAGCACTTCATTCTACAGTACAGATGTGTGTCTTGTGCTGTGGACTGTGCTGGTTCTCATCTGTAACTTACAATATAAAAATAAAACCTAACTCGGTGAGAGATGCTTGGAGATTTTTAAAATACGATAGCAGATTTTCATAAGCTGTTCCTCCAAGCTGTCACTAATACTTTCTAAAACAAGAAGGAAGTGCTGCAATGCTTAAAACATACTGAAGCTTTTTCTAGTTGGCTCAATTTTCCATGGATTTAACCCTTTGATTAAGTCTTACTAACCTAGATAGTAACACATAAGAATTTCAGGCTAGGCACGGGTAGCTTAAATATTGCAAGAAAAAGGTCTAGTTCTGAACCCACCTCTTATTTCAGTCGATAATCTTTCCTAACAAAAGGCTCAGAATGCCTGAACGATGCTTTAAGATGAAGTAATGATAATGTGCAGTCTCTAGTTGTGTATTTAAAGCACTGGTGTTGAGCATTCCTTCTCTCCTGGTGAAAATTACTGCTTAAAAACTCAGGAAGATTTTACTTGTTTTCAATTAAAATATTTTAATTCCTAAGGACTTGGAGTTCAGCAAATACTACGAGAAGTTTGTTTGCTGTGGGCTAACCTTTAACTTAAAGATGCAACCCAGGTAGGAGGAGAGGGCAAACCAGCTCT